TTGGTATCTCACACTTTGGACGTATTATCAGAAGGGACCAGTTCCTGTAGAAGGATACCATGTTTGGCAAAGTGGAGGATCAGAGAAATAGAGGAAGAGCCGAGATGGACTGGCACAGTGGCAGCAGCAATGAGTTCAAACACAGCAATGACTTCAGTGAGGTTGGCACAGGACCAGGCATAGTTTCGTTCTGTTGTGCATAGGGTCACTATGAGTCAGTACTGACTAGATAGCACCTAACAACAACAAGAACAACATGTGTACATCAAATATTTTGCTTTGTTCATTTATGAAATATAAGCTGTAACTGGGGAAATATGGGGAGGAAGTAGGGCAACTACTGCTGCAGGGAGGGAACTGTACCCACTGAGATGAAACAAAGGGTATGATTTGTTGAATGAAAAGCTGATGATCATTTCTATAAACCTTCAAACTCAATTCACAACTTAAAGTTAAAAAAATCCAGAAATGTGGTCATGCAAACAACAGAACACTGCGGAGATGCTTTCCAAAGGTTCTCCACCTCCCTCAGAGTAAAGATCCTAGTCTTCAAAACACATGGACTAACCCTTTGATTCACTGACACAATCCCTCACTCATCCTCTCGGCTCAAATTCAAATGTCTCAATATGTATTATCAATGAATTTGCATTTTCTGTCCCCTTGACATGGAATGTTCTTCAGAATCTGCAAGCCTCACTTCTTTCTGTTCTTTGCTCAAAGGTACCCTCTGGATGAACTCTCCCATGATCATTAACAATGGCAGTATTTCCCACCCACACTTTTCCCGACCCTTTTATAGTATCTTTGCACTTATCAACATTGAATAGACAACATACTTTCTTTTCATTTTCCTTCTACTAAGACAATATTAGTAAAGGTTTTTTTTTAATAGTGTTTTAGGCATTTTTAATAATATTCTATTTACAGCAATTCAATTATTGTTACTGAAAGAAAAAAAAGTAGAACAGGTAAAAAAATGAGTGTGATTGTATTTCAATAAAACACCTATTGACAAAAATCAGGTTGCCAGCAGAATTTGTCCCAGGAGTGGGCATGTGCAAACTTGGGACTAATATTAACTGAATGAATGAGTCCTGGAGAAATACACACCAAGAAAAAAACCTAAGAGACTGACATGTAATTAAAATCAAAAGAAAAAACAGAAAATACTTTCAATGGCCTGAGAACCAAAAATTTGGGAAAATTTACCATTTAAGTAAAAGACATAAAAAGTGAAGAAATCATATCTCACATTTCACTTCTTTTCAAAGTAGCAATTTTTAATTTTTGATTAGCAACAACTGCTAAGCATTGTGAATTTGTAACTGAAATGCCTAAAGACAAAAACACAATTTTAAAAACTGGAGGCTAGCAGGAAGGTTATAGGTATTCTGGAAGATACTTAGCCGTGGGTGAACCTAGACTACAGCTCCTAAAACTACTCTTGCCATGGCTTTTAATCAAATACTTTCCCAAGGAAGCGTCCCAAATCCCAGTTCCACGTTAAATCTATGGAATTAGAAACAGCATCTAAAAAATTCTAATCACAAATCTCTTCTTTAAATAGTTACATTTTAAAACAGGCATATACGGCAATAATACAATTAAAGAATTCTAAAACTATCAGTAGTTTGATGCTTATGAAAAAAAACCAATAAACTGAAGACATAGTGGGGTTTTTTTGTTCTGTTTTTGAAGATGAAAGCAGAAACACAGAAAACACAATCAATTCATTCTATCATGCAAAACTCATTTCCGTTACAACCTCTGAAGCCCACTTTCAAACAATGACATGGATCCCACCTTGAGCCCTTGTGGTTCTTACCAGTATTTACAGTTTCCTGATCAATCATGCCTCCTTCTGCAAACCCTTCCAAGTCATCCACTTTAACTTTTTCCCAGGGTATGTACGTAACACCGAGGTCCACATCCCAGAATTGTTTGTATTCTGTTTTCACTCCTTTGTTTAAAGCCCAGGCAATCTAATAGGAATGAGGACAGGTATATAAAAATAAATAACTAGAGGATGTTCAGAATTATAAACAATGTAAATACTTTGTTTATAAAGTGACTTTATAAAAGTAGGTGAGCTAGGCAAACTATCACTATCAGAAGACTAGAGGCCAAGAAACTCATACAGGGTATTGTCAACTTTGGCTTTTAAAATAAGAGAGTTTCCACATAAA